GTAGAAGCTGAGAATATAATACCGGACAACAGGCCACCACCTGGATGGCCAGCTTATGGAGAAATTCATATTAAAAACTTATGTAAATAAATTGGTTATTGGATATCAGAAATGACAGGTTATTATTATCAGATATTACTTAATGGAACTGACATAGTGGATCAAATTTTAATATTAATTATTTATGACAGGTTATCGGTTTGGCAGGATGGGTTTTGGGAGGCTGACAATATTAATATATATAGTAATCTTTTATTTTTTTCCTGCTCTGTCTGGCTGATTTAGAAATAATTCAATATTAATATTTGCTAATTTACTATTTTATTATAATATTTACTTCATTCTAGCAATGTATTGTATATGGTTAAAATAAAATTTAAATACACCTAGGATGTTAAACATCATATATTTATGATTAAGGGTTACGATTAAATTTTAAACAATGAGCTTGAAGCACTAAATATTTATACTTAGAGCACTAAGAATTAATTTTTTGGCGTTTTTGGATATAGTAACACCTATAGTGCATTTTAGTAAACCTAAATTCAACTTTTCACAAGTAGATTAATTACTCCATTGCATGTTAGCAAATGCATCAATGTGTTGGTGATATACTCTCATATTTCTGCTTAGCAATTTCCATTAATTCTGCGAATTCACCACTTCTCTCACACATTTCTCTAAATAACCCATCAAGCTTTTGCATCAGTATGTATGGACTATCGAATTCAACTACGTTTCCAGCATCTAATTTTGGAGATAATTAATATTTTTAATCATTAAAAATTTTCTGTTAAAAATACGTACCCATAACTAGAATTCTATCATAGTCTGCAACCGTACGCAATCTATGTGCAATAGTAATAACAGTATTATCTTTAAACTCTTTCCTAATTGTAGCTTGTATTAGATGATCAGTTTTGAAATCTATACTCGCAGTAGCTTCATCCATTATCAATTTGGAATGACGAACTAGTGCTCTGGCCATTGCAATCAGTTGTTGTTGACCTTGGGAAAAATTTGATCCATTTTCTTTGACAGGCGAGTCAAGCATTATTGGTTCTTGTTTGTGATTTTTCTGATCCGAAATAGAAAGGATAATATCTAATCCTTCTTTTTCAGAAGTAGGATTGGAACTTTTAATTAAGTGTACACGACGAAGCGTATTCCATAACTCAAGATCACTATGCTTGTTAAATGGGTCCAAGTTACTTCTATTTTTTTTTTTAAAGAAAGTAAATGTTCAGTTAACAGAAAGGCTTTAATAATAAATATATAGAATCAAAACTTTTGTTTACCTTATAGTACCATCAAATAGTACGGGGTCCTGAGGTATGATAGTAATATTACTTCTAAGATCTTTTAATCCAATATTACTAATATCAACATCGTCAATTACAATACTTCCAGAATTTGCTTCAATAAATCTAAAGAATGACATTGCCAAAGTTGTTTTTCCACATCCTATTATTTAAGAGAAGTTAATATTCGAATCTCAATAATTTTCAAACTGAGTTCTAAAATTTACCAGTTCGACCAACAACCCCAATCTTCTCAGCAGCAATAATATTAACTGAGATACCTTTCAAAATTAGAGGACTATCAGGTCTATATCTAATTTCTAAATTTTTAATATGAATTTCTCCATAAGCTGGCCATCCAGGTGGTGGCCTGTTGTCCGGTATTATATTCTCAGCTTCTAC